CATATTCTTATCAATAAAGGTGTTGGGATCCTTAACGAATGGTATCCGGTCTACCGTGGTCGGGACGGGCTGTCTTCGGGGCTCTGATAGAGTTTTCCCCGTCCAGCTCAACAGACCGCCCGTAGGAGTGATAGAATTTTGGTGGCCTAATCAAACTCCTGCCGTGAAAAACCTACCGGGGAACCTAGCTGAGACGGGCGGGGAGGAGCTCCTGCAGCCCCGACGAAAACCCGACCAACCACGATAGACTGGATACCAGGTTAGCAAACGAACGGACTGATTCGATTCTCACTCACCTGTCCAATGTCAGTCCATGTATTGTCTGCTTCCACAACCGTCACTACCCCACGGTCTGTGTTAAAACAACTGGCCTGTTCAGATCCTCTGCACACCAGGTAACGCAGTACGGGATGCTCATTGTTGCACAGAACAAAACCTTTGGATCATAAAAGTATGATATGAAACATTACAATCGACCCATACAAATATAATGTTGTCATGAATGATGTAGTTATTAACATCCTGCTACAGAGTATTATATGATATTAACAGAATATAATATAATATGATAGTAACAGTATATTATTTTTATCACCAAAATACGGTATTTGACGTAGCATGAGTAAATTGTATACATTGCAAATACAGGATGTAAAGAAGTGCAACATGTCGATCATAGGTAAGTAAGCTTACTGACCAGCATTCTTAGGAGAACTGGGAAGCATCCGAACCCCCAGTCTTCCTGCAAACGTGTTCACCTTGTGCGTTTTGTCTGGTTCACAGGAAATCCACAAGGCCTGTAAACAAAGCAACACACTCAAAAGTTATTACATTCTTCTATACAACAGTGGTTCATTGATGATATTGGTAAATAATAATGATAATAATCATAAAGGAACTTTTGTGAAAGGAAAGTGTGTGTATTTTTTTTATATTCCGAAACATGCAATCACAAGACGTGGTGACGGCACACTCAAGTTTTTTCAACTTATATTAATGCCGCCACCAACACAGGGACAGAACAATACTCATTTACACCTGAGTGAAGTAAGGAAAGTCGTGTAAAGTGCCTTTCCCAAGGGCACAAGATCGATGGCATGTCAGGACTCGAACCCGGGGCCTCTGGTTCCGAGTCGAGAACGCTGCCGCTGCGCCACACGAACTCAATGTGTGTATGTCGATGAAGGTTAGACATCAAGGTAACTAGATACGCCAAAAACAGTTAACAGTTATTACTGGCACTTACTCAAGCAACTGGATATAGTATGAAAAATGATATCCAGTTGCCTGAGTAACTGTTCTTTGGAGATGTGTGTGTTACAGTACCGTGTCGTCACAATTATCATCCTGACATCGTTTCTGTAGTGGAGTTAGGGCGTGTTCCGGACAAAGGATCGTCAGCTGGGCATCATGTCTTTGTTGTTCTCCTTGTTGAAGGACCTTCTGGTTCACCAGGGTAGACAGCTCACCGGCGTGGTCAGAATGGCGCGACGATACGAAGACCAGGTTCGGCAGCTGTCCTGAAGAATATAGAAGAATAACTTTATTGCACGACAATTCCACATGGTACAATGTATGGCAAACTACATAAAGAGAGTAACAACAATAAAATAAGTGTGTTGAATAAGACCTAATGTCGAATAAAACCTAACATATCTATATCATAATTATTCAAATAATAAGGGATAGCACATGTCTTTGATAAAGTGTAACAACCGAGTGGGCTAATCACAAGTTTCCGTATTTTTTCTAATAGCAAAGCATTCCTTTATATATCTACCTATTTTTGCGTTGTGGGGTTCATTACATGTAAAGATATATTCAAATCTGTCTGTAACATCGAGACTCTTGAAATCTATGGTACTTGATTCGAGATATGTGAATAGCTTGTTACGTATATATGTTTTCAGTGGCAGGTTGGATTCATTCAGTTCATTGGTATTGGTTTGGCTTAAGTTCGACCCTCTCACAGCCAGGGTAGCCCAACTAGCCAGTGGCTATTACAAAGGGCTTGCACTGCTTATACACATGACATGATAATTAAAAACAATGCAGCATCATATAAGGCGACGACTTAATAATCTACAAAGTATTACATTATTCTACTTTGGTAAATAAAAACTTCCTACAAAGGCATCTTTTATCTAATTTGACTCACTAGAATAAGCCTCATACAGAGAAGAATGATAGATACAGTGTGACATGATGTAACAACAGTTAAGATACGTATTGATAAAATAAACCAACCTGCAAGCTCCTGGCAGGACCTGAGAACTCCCAGTCCGACATTTATCAGTATTACCGGGGAACCGTTGAACATGACCGTCACTGAAGAACTAGGGATGCCCTCAAATGTAGCTGTAGTATAGGTAATGAAATGAGACGTCCAATGACGTTAAATGTGGTATAGATTTTATGCATCTCTGTGTGACAAAAGAACTAAATTAACTGTAAATATTTCATAATGTGTTAATATATTTAAGTGTTATTACATTTTATCCACTTGATTGATTTTGATACTTTCTGTAAAGTCTGACGCTAATTCAGTCTGCCGACTGCTATGTCAGATTGTGTTGAATTCCTTCCAATAAACTAATCATCATCATCATCATCATGACAGACAACATGTATCACACGTATGTATTACATGTACCACAGGAAGAGTGGCTAACAGAAATGCCAAGCGAATTGTAGATCACAAGTCATTGTCATTGTAATGATTAGTTATGATTTCAATCTACGGTAGATAGTGTGCATGTGGCTTGTCAAGCAATATTCAAAGTTACGCCACGTAAGAAAGTTTCTAAAGTTTTCACGACGTACCAGCTGCAGCATCTCCGGTACCCAGGCAGAGGAGCTCGATGTGCCCTGTGTCAGTCTTCAAAGGGGCGGAACCAAACAGCATCTGCAGCACCTGGTCGAAAAAAAGAGGATTTCACTTAACTTGTTACCTCCGGGGGAGGAGACATCCTTCCGCGGAAGGGTTTTGTGAGAGATTTAGATTTTCGTCTTCGCAGCTGTTTCTCGCGTTTGGGTGGACGGATTCTTTTGAGACTCGGTATATGTTTTGCTGCAGATAATGCACGTTCTTTTGTGTTTATTGTATATGTGTTTTGGGGCGTGAAAATGGTGCCTTTTGGTGGCCCAAAACACCCCTCTGAGCGTGAAAGTGGTCGCGACCGTTGACCTTTGGCGTGTATTAGGTATTGTCCTTCTCGTCCACGAAGGTGAACCCTCGCACAGAGGGGTGTCCGGTCTCGATAATTTCTTTGTTTAAAACCCTAGTTGTTGTAAACAACATATAAAAATATACAATAAAAAGCCCGGAGGTATAGAATCTCAGATTTTACTTGTTTAAAGTTGAACTTTAGATCCAACACAGTAAATTTAAAGGTTTCTCACCTACAGCTTTCGACCAGTCCAACACAATAAAGTTCTTTCACCTAGAGCGGAAGACCGGTCACTATGGTCTTCCTCAGTAATCTGACCCAGTGAGGCTTTATCATGTGGCTTCTTTGAGGCGTGACGTCAACACTGGGTCAAAGGTATCTGGTAGACTATGTCAACCCCCGTCGCGGTTGAGTGAAAGTGATAGGCCCTGATGTAAATAGCCACGTGACAAGCCTCACTGGGTCAGATGACTGAGGAAGACCATAGTTACCGGTCTTCCGCTCTAGGTGAAAGAACTTTATTGGATCTAAAGTTTTAACTTTAAACATGTAACTACCAACACAGATGAACTTTCATGATAGTATAAGAAGTGACTTCACTTAACATTAACGTTGAGCCTACTTTAAGGATATTTAACAATGAGATTACAAAGTAATAATATAAAACAAGATTTACAATGATTGTACATTTTACCTTAGACATGGACGGCCGCTGTGCCTCCACTCTCAGACATCCTCCAATTGTTGGTTTCATCCTCGGCCCAAACTCATCGCAGTTTTTCTATGAAAAGATACGCATAATGTAGAGTTCTTTATTGTAAGTTCATGCCAGTGAGCAAATTGCAAACAGAGATATTGACAAGAACAGTGAGTACTGAAAGTATTGAGGAGTGGTATAAAACTATATGGCTAACATGAAGTTTTACGATCTACTAATCTAACTCTATAATGGCAATAGTCAGTTGTGCCATTTGATCTGTTGGGAACTGACACCTTAGTGGATATCATTATATTCACATTGGCATGATGTAAATCCTTACCGGGATGTCAGGCAGCCCCCCGCGGAGCTTTTCATCCATCGCATGCTTGTGTATGGCGATGTTGCTGAAGACCATCTCTCCACCAATCAGCTCAATCAAGCATAAAGCTGCAAAAAGAGGCAACGCACTTAGAAAACTCAAGAACTAAAAAAAGTACTACGTAACTACTTCAACTACTCAGAACCAATTCTTGAGACACTTTTTATTGAAGGTTTTCCTGTACCAAGTTACAAATATCCATGGAGTAAATAATTGTACCTACCGTAACTGTACACGTCTGCCTTCTTGGAGTAGTGCCCGCTCGATGACTTCACTTCCGGGGCCATGTAGCGGTAGGACCCGATGATGGTCTTGGTTTGCCGTGTGCCCTCGGTCACTCGGGCGAGACCGAAGTCACCCAACTTGAAGATGCTGTGGTCCTCTGAAATCTGAAATCCATGTACATTTTGAGATTAAGGATTCTGCATCTGTACCCATGATCTGTATAGCCAGTATAGCCTATCAATATATACTATCAACCATAGTTAATGTATCTCTAACCAGGACAAAGAGGACATATAGTTATCGTCATGTTAGATTGCCTGCTTTGGTATTTGTGTGGGAAAACTGTAACGGACCAAGAAAGCAACAATTCTGTACCTTAGGTGTACAAATACAAAAGTACACGTTCAGTCGCATGAATAGGTACTGCGTAGACTTACGAAGACGTTTTCTGGTTTGACGTCTCTGTGCATGACGTCCTTTCCGTGCAGGTACTCCAGTGCGAGACCGATCTGTTTGGCGAACCTCAGCACGAAGTCCTTCTCCTGAGCTCCCGACCTCCTGAGGTGGTCCCGGAGGTTTCCCCCGTCCACAAACTCCATGATGATCCCCAGTCTGTTGTCCTGCACGATGCAGTCTACCACTTGGACGATGTTGGCGTGTTTCATATCTCTGTGGAGAAGGAGAACAAATCATAATGACAAATAAACTGTTATCCAACTCAAAATAATTTGACATGCTGGAATTTTGCGACCTAATCTCTCGGTCTTCATCAGCTATCCGACCAAAGTGCTGTAGACACGTGATTTTGTCGGGCATTAGCACTGGGTCAGTTTGTCGGAAGTTCGGTACCGCCCCCCCCCCCCGTCCCGGTTGACAAATCATGACTGCAGCCAGTTCAAAATGTGCCTTAGTGTAACCTAGGCATTGAAGATGCGGAGAGGATGTAGGACTAGGAAGCTGAAACAGCATATAATTTGTTAACCAGGCTAGATTATCACAACAGCAGTTTTGCGTTATATAATGTCCATAGGTTCTGAAGTACCTTAGAAGTTTGAACTCATCTTGGAAGGCCTTCAGGTCTCTTGTATGTTGGACTTCATTGAGGATCTTCACGGCCACAGGTCGCCCCTGACGTGTGGCCCTGTGCACGGTGCTAAAGCTGCCGCTGCCGATCTGTCAAAATGAAGGTTTGTTATGATTTTCAATATCATCATCTGGTTATCAACTACCTTTTTGAACTTCTTCCTTCTTCTCCTCCATGTATATTGTGAAATAGAAAGAAAAATGGCTAAAATTTGTATTATGATCTTAGTTAAAGTGTCAACCCTACATCAGTGCAAAGTACATAGAAAGGAAGGCACAAAAACACTATCGTATTGAAACTAATGATTTCAAGTACTTAGCACTCCTGAATTGCGTCGCTTTTACAATATTCATGATACAAGAGGAGACACAGGGCAATTACATACATACTGGTACACTAAAGAACATGCAACGTGAAAAAGCGATATTCCTCAAGATGCACCTTGATGAAGTCACTTCCTTGGTCCAGCTTCTTGTTGGTCAAAAGGTGGATTTCACTCATGTTCTGTAGCATCTCCAGGTCCTCTTTCTAAACAAAAGATATATAAAGATATATATAATTTACAAATATGTACACTGTACTCTGGATAGGCTTCAAGTGGCAAGAGAAAAACACCAATCTCTGTAATAATAGTTTGCAAGAGAAACTACACACATTGCATAAAAAAGTGGAATTTGTCGATGACGATAAATGTCAAGCAAGTCTGACTATGCTTTTGAAAGCTGAATAGCTGATATACCGATTACCAGACTTACCTGACATGTAACCTTGTTGTTTCGAAAACCATTCTCAAATGTACATGTTAGACCTACTTGGGGCATACTTATATTTAGCCCCTGACCAAAGATTTTGCCCATTTTGCCCACAGAAAATCGAAGATGAATTTCATTTTATCATGGAATGCTCTAGATATGATGTCCTACGTGATAAGCTATTCAAATTTCTCTCTTCAAATACGACAGATTTCAATAGACTTTACAGATATATTTGATTATATATTTAAATCCACCAGCCACACAGTGCAAAAATAGGTAAATACATAAAAGACTGTTTTGTTATTAGAAAGAATACTGATTTGCTGTCACATGTACCCAATTAGATAACTCCGCCTGATTGTAAAGCCTAAGGTATCTTTTGATTATTTCTTTCCTATTTTTAGTTGTTTTAAGTTTTATTCTATACTTATCTATTTTACTAAGCTACTTATTGTTACCTATTTGCCAAAGTTCTGTAATAGTTATTATAGTTATAATAGTTATAATACTTATAATACAGTGTAGTTATAATAGTTATAATAGTTATAATACAGTGTAGTTATAATAGCTATAATAGCTATAATAGCTATAATAGCTATGATAGTTATAATAGTTATAATACTTATAATACTTATAATACTTATAATACTTATAATACTTATAATACTTATAATACTTATAATACTTATAATAGTTATAATGACACCTGGGATTAGGTACATTTTGTATGCAGGGCCCACTGCACCAAAAGTTGAATTTTTCAGATTATACACACAGCTAATATATACCGGTGTCGTTTGTCGCGTAAAGCAATCATTATCATACTTGGCTTTTATCATTATTTGGTAAATCCATATTCCATGCAGTGTCATACCTTGATAGCAGACATGTGCTCGCCGTGCCTGTCCACCAGGTCCCTGTTAGCGCTGAGCACCTCCTGCAGCAGACGTCTGACCGAATCCTCGGCGCTCCACGACCTCTCGCGAGACTTCTCGTATATCTTCCGCTTCCGCACGGTCTCCTCTCCGTTGATGGCAATCAGCTGCACGGCGAAAGCCTTCTTGCCGGCTGTCGCCGGGTGGCCGTGGAAAATAGCTTCGTCTTCGCCTCCTATAGATATAAGAAAAGTGGTATTGTTCAGCTTTAAGAAATTGTAGTCTTCCTACAGCGTTCTTTGAATGGTTTTCGACATGACTGAAAGCTCATCTGAGCATATAACAAGCTCAAACTGTCAGAGTTTTCAACGCAAGCAGAGTCGACGTACCATATTTCAAAACCAAATTTTCAACCTTCTTCAGGACGTCCGTCACGTGACTTTTTGGGAACGTGACGTCAGGAGTGGGTCAAAGGTAAACATTTTGATCATTCCGTCTGACGTACCTTTAAGCTGTGGTTATTTATCCCAATTTTTAGCACCATATTTTCTTTTATTCTAAAAACGTGCTAGTCACATTGACA